AAAAAAAACAGTTAGCTTTGTTTCTTATGTTATTGCCTATGTCAGATTTTGTTGTATTCTGAGAATTTCGTGGTGGTCTACATAGGATGTGTAGGATGTTCCCATGAAGTATTTTCTTGTTTTTTGTTTGAGTTTGACATGAACTGTGGAAATGCTGAATGAATTCTGTTGCAGTTGCGCATGAAGTGGAGTGCATTTCCTGTGCCAGCCAGTCACTGGACAGTAAGATACTTCTGGGTGATGACACGTGTCCTCTTTAACGCTGTACATTCTTACAGCCTCCGAGCTGGATGACTTACTCAGCTCCCAGAACACTCTCATCAGGAAGCTGAAGGACGAGTGTTGCAACCTGGGGACGCAGCTGGAGGAGGTGACCAGCGGGAGCAGGTCAGTGGGAAAGGAAGAGTCTCATTTCGGGACAGCGCCTCGTTTGGATTGCCCAGGAAAACCTTTTCTCATCTGATGCCTTTCATTTTCTTTATTTCTGCATTTTTTTAAAATTATCAGTGAAAACATTGTGTCCGATTGCAGATAATAGAACAAATTCTTGAGTAAGCCTTTCCCCTCCAACCACGCGGCGAGCTGCTTGATGCCAACCCCTAACCCAGACCTCTCGTCAGTCAGGAGAGAGTCCCCTCTGGGGTGGAGCACGCTCTGCTGGTGGACGAAATGGAAATGGAAAAGGAAAAGTGCGCTGGGCGCTCCAGTCACAGCTAGGGGGACTGCGGCTCTTCTCTGAGGAGCCTGAAACTCCTCTCGCTGTGACTGGAACACAGTACAGTTGATCTCCACATTTCGAAAGTTCTTACTTCACCACCCTGATGTACACATCTGCCTTACAACCCGACTGATTAACATAAGGAACATGTTAGCAGTGACGTGCTGGTATGACGTTATCTGGGTAGGATTTTTGGCTACATTTGCTCAGTCACTGAAATACTTGTCTTTTCAATATATAATGTGTAGTGCATTTATAATATTTAACATAATATATAATATATGTTTTGATCATTACCCTAATCAACAATGATCAGGTTTTGGAAGATTAATGGTACTCAAGCCATACTCTGCTAATAGGGCCTCTCATTCTAGGTTGTAAAGGCTTAATAACTTTCCACCCCTAATTTAAATGTTACATTTTGTTTAAACACATGCATCAACCCAAACAGCAGCCGGTGACATTTTTAAATGAGCTCAAATAAAGTCCTTGACTTGTGAGAAATAATGCTCACATCATAGAATACAATTCAGGAGAGAGCGGTGATACTGAGCACAGCAGCTCAGTGAAGAAAGAGTCTAATTGCTGTCATTTTTATAATGTTTACAAACTGGATTATGCTGAGTACATTTTAATATCACTGGGAGAATAAGACTCAGTTTGATTTGAATTTTGGAGATAAGAAACGGAACCAGTTAGGAGACGAAAGGATGTCTTTCCTTCTGCGCACAAAGCTCTAGCTCTGTGTCTTGCGGTGCTATATGCTTCCATCAGGCAGAGCTGATCGTTCTGTATAACAGATCTGTCTGTGTGAGCTGAGAATGGCTCCAATGGGTTTTGACCTCAGGCCTCTCAGCTGCAAAGCTGTGTGAACTGGATCTGTCATAATAGTGCAAGGCAGGAAAGGCTTTCGTCGTGCTGACTGTGGGACACTAAAAGTGGTCTCTACCTTGTGCTGTTCAATGGGTTATTACCTTCTATTCCTGCTATGAAAGTACCATTCACACATCAGTTTTTCTCCTTATTTTGCTGATGTCTTTGGGCTGTTTTCTCCCTGATGCGTTGTGTTTAATGCCCCGGCAAAATTTCTATTGCCCACCAGGCAAATCTGAGCGCTGCTTACTTACGCTTGGTTAGATGCAGCTGTAAACAAGGAGGATGTGCTTGTTTTCCAGTAGCACAGCTCTGTAAATCACTCACAGAACCCGCTGTTGGTTTTAGGGATCAGAATAACAGTTCAGAAATAAGGAGAGTCTGGTGTTCACCAGCCAGGGGCTGCACAGCTCTAGTGTTAACTTGAGAGAGAGCCCACCTTCAACACCTCCTTCTCCTCCTGTATTGCCACTTCCATGTAGATGTCAATAACAGTCACCTGGTTTTTGTCCTAGTGGACAAGCATGTGTTCTTTGTGCCACTCCCTATTGGAGATAAACCGGAACACACACAATGATCATGCTGGAGTATCGTACCGCTGTGTTTTAATGCGGAACGTGTACCGTGCAGGAGTGCGGTGGAGCAGCTCTCCCTGGAGAACGAGCACCTGCGGGAGTCTCTGGACAAGCAGCAGGCCCGCTGTGCGGAGATGGAGGAACAGTGTGTGCAGCATGGCAGGATGCACCAGAGGATGAAGAACAGGTACCCTGCCTCTGTCACACAACACAGCACAGCACACATGTGAGGTTGCAATCTCCTTTTTGGGGTCGCGGACATTTTCTTCAGCTATTCAGCTGATCATCTGTTGCCTTGTTTTTTTGTGGATGTTACGATCACCATTTTTTATCCATTCCACATCAATTAGGAATGATCAATTCTTAAATATCTCAGATAAGCAGCACCAAGAGAGCCAGTGAAACTGTTATAAATATTACTGCCAGCAGGAAACACCCTGCCCAAGCCCAGACAGGGCCCATGATGCTCAGCCTATTACTTCCGAAACTCCTGTTCACTGCTGGCTTATGATATAGTCCAGTTTCAAACCACCCATGCCTGGACTATAGGGCTGAACCTGGGCTTCACTCATGCACTTTGTCTTTCGTGATCAAGCTGCTCACAAGTTCGTTCATTGTTTGCAAGCCTAGCTGACATCAAGCTCTTCAGTGCTGACTGTCCTGTCCCACTGGCTCAGCCAGTAAAATAAGTCAGAAACGTGTCTGTGGAATTACCAACTGACATGATATAGTGCACACAACACCCCCAGGCGGAAGAACTCTAGTAAGTAATTCCAGTAATGCATTAATTGCAGTTCAACAGTGTTTAACAGAGATGTGCAGCAGGGATTTTTACAGTCACCTCATCAGACAGTGTGTCTGAATTTTATTTTATTTTGAAGTTTTAAACAAAAGTAAAATGATGCAAGAAATAGTAATTGAAAGTAGCTTGTTTCTTCTGCAAGGAAAAATATACAGAAAAACAACTTTGATTTAAAAGGTTATTAGTCTGTTGTGCTGTAATACTACTTTTTTTAAAAATAATGTTTATAGAGATGGTACTGTAAGTATTCAATCAAAGCCCAGGTCACAATAAGCGGTCTGTCTGGTCTCATTTCCTTTTCCTTAACCGGCTCCATCAGTCAGAAGGTGTGAATCGCTCGTTTTTGTTGTCCTGTGGTGTAAAAACTGGCTGCTTCGCCGCTTCTCTGAGTAGGTCTTTCATGCAAACTTGTGCGCTTGTGGGTGTCTGTGTGTGGGTGTAGGGATGTCTCTCAGAACTTGTTGCAAAACTTCTTCTAAAATCAAACATCCTACTGCTCCGAACATAACACTACATATTGTTTAACTCCCACTTTGAAAAATCTCCAGCATGCAACTTCTCGTTTCAGACCGACACCAAGAAAATAATGAATTAAAAACTAAATGAGTTGCAGCTGCCAGGTCTATCTACCAGTTAAATGAGCTTCTGTCAGCTGTGCAAGTGAAAATTTAAACCACAGGCAGTGTGCTTCCCACGTTCCAGCCTTGGAAGTTCAGCACTTGCATCAGAAGCTACCCAGCGCCGTAAGTGAGGAAATTATCACCGTTAAATAGTTGTCTAACTGAAAATAGCAATAGTGAAGCTATACTTTCAACCACTTGTGCAGTGTGCACCAGAACCATAAGTGATAAAAAATAAGCAGTGTGCTTCCTCGATAATCATGAAAAAAACTCCATCATTAAACTATAATTTACTATTAAACTGTGGCAAGACTCATAAAGATGCAAATATAGTATATGCATGCAAAGTTCAAATAGTTTAGCCAATTTATGTATTTTTTTTGTTTCAATTTAATACTAATCTAGGTTTACATATTCTGGGATTGTTTCAATCACATCAAGCCCAAATTTAACCGGGTCTTAGTGGAATGCTGGAATTGGTTAACTAAGCAGGTACATCATCGTGTCTGTGAAATTCAAATGTTTAGTTAATCTCTTTCTGACACATCCAAAACCCTTGGTGCCTGTTACTGACACCTAGAATGCTGGTCTTCTTATTGATGAAGAATGTCGCTTTGCACCCATGATACCACTTTGACAGGTTGCTTTGTCCAATGGGCTATCAGAAGTTCTGGAATATAGGTTTAGCACCTAATGTTGTTAAATATGAAGCTCATCATTGTTCATTTTGTAAGCTCTGTTCTTGGAAATCCCGGTTTTAAAGATGCTCTTGCGGCATGATGCTAACAGCGAAGACTACATAGACATGCTCGGTGGAATATGATCTACCTGCCACTGTGTTCTCTGCTCAGCAATCAGTGGCTCAGCCTGTCAGGTTTAGTTCTTCCGTGAAAACACAAATGTGCAGCATATAGGCAAGTGAAGAAGAAACGGCAAGTATGTTATAAGTGTTGGAAAAAAAAGGAAGGGAGAAATATCACATGCCAGATCTGATCTGTGATGGCATCATGTGTCGAAGAATCGGGAACAGCACGACCTGCAGTTGAAAAGATGGCAGGGGGTCAAACACTCCAGCTCGTGTGCAAGATTGCCGAGAAATAGGTGCTTGTGTGATGTAACTCCCAGCAGTGAGCCATCCGGGAGGACGCAAAGATGAAAGTCTTCACCCTCCTGCTTAACTGAAAGCACAAGCACCCGCATTAAGATTGATTGCAGGGCTACCTCTTATGTGACAAAAGCTTTGAAAGGATTTCAAAAGGCTCCTGTAGTACAGCAAGAAGCAAAAAGCACAAACTCCTTCTCATTGCTGAAGACTTTTTATTTTTATCTTTTTCTAGCCGTCTATGACCGGTATACAGACTTATTCACAACACCAGTAAGTCAATAAGTACTGATAACCTTTAAAAAAATAATTCAAGGGAAATGCTTTGTTTCTGACAACTGCTGTAAATCAGCATCTCATTGAACAAGAAGTCAAAAACAGTCATATAAACCGTATGTGCATATCTGCACAGGATATTCATAAACACATATTTTATTATCTGTCTAGACATAGCAAAATATTAATTCCTGACCTGAAAATTACCCGGGAATTCAGATCTAGAGATGTAACTGGTTAGCGTTCAGTGAAATATAGCTACATGTATGTCATTTCATTTTTAAAATAAGGAACCCAGATTCCTAACTGAATTCCTGATATTGTTGAGCATTATTTTTGAGTACTGACAGACTGTGAGTCAAGCTGTTTTCATTCCAATTTTTTAACTATGTTCTGGGCCCTTAAGTGTGTGTTCTTGAAATCATCTGTGGATGGAGGTTCGAGGTACGTGTGTTACTGAGGAAGTGTGAGCAGGTTTAATATACATGCAGATAACTGGAGCCCAGAGCTCCGCCTCTGATGGTCCTGAACTGGTGCAATCTGTGCTGTGAAGAGCAGCCACATTCCAGGGTGGCAGAAACATTTGGAAAATCAGCTTGATTTATTTTTATATAGTAGAAGGAAAGCCAAGCAACACAGGGGTTTTTAGCGCTCAATGTTAAGCAAATAATCTCCGAATAAAAAAACTCTACCAGAAGCAATTTTGCAAAGAAACTCGCACGTCAGTCAGATTGTGTGTGTGTGTGTGTTGCATCTCTCTAAAACACTTGAGCTTTTCCATATTTTTTTCTTTCTAGTTCAAACCTTTTTATTGAACTTACAATAAAGATTTTTTTGGTTATAATTTACTACCAATCATAGATGGAAAGGTGATATCAGTATTTTCAGTTGCAAGTTTGTAAAATCAGATTTCATTTTCTTAAAGTCTAGGGGTGCCGTGAGACTGCTTTTGTTCAAAGATCTCGGAGGGCTTTTAATTTACTAGGCTGTCACTTGATAAATTGATTCTATTTCCTTTTCTCCTTTTAAGCAATTGAAAAATGTCAAATTGAGTGTGTGCCTGTTATAGAAGCAATTTCTTAATTGAGTTATTGCAATTACAGAACCAAACAGTGATGTTTCAAAATATAAGCAGATAATATTCATCTAAATTATTTAAAAATGAAGTTCAGCCCAAATTACCATTCATCTCATAATCCAAACAGCAGATATAAAAGTAGATTGATTTTGGGATTTGTTAATTCTGTTTTGTTACACATACAGCTAGTTTTTCTTGGTCCTTAAAAAAATCTTAAAATGTGACCTAAGAATGCCCAATCAATTCCATACCTATGAGCTATTTGTACATGTGTATGTAAGCATTACGCCTTATCTCCAGTTAGACTAAAGAACTTGATAAATACAATACTGTATAAAACAAGACCATACTGTACAATACAACACTGTATAACAATGCAAATAATATCCCAAAACATTCCAAAGTCCAGAAATTCGAAAGGGCGTGAGCTCTAATTTCTTGCTTCACCTGAAGGAGCAGTCTGAGGATGGTAGCGGGGTTCATCTGCCTCATGCAGGTCTGGGCTTCCTTTCCCTTTGCACAGGTTCAGCAGGTCTGAACCAAGTGAAGCCAAGCCGAACAGAAATAATTTGAACAATTTCAGTCAAAAGGAGTGGTCTCCTGTTTAATTCATAAGGCCCCCAAATGAAACAGGTGACCAAATTCAAGAAAATAAAAATTGAGCATCAAATGGAATTGTCACAATTGCAGGTGCCTGTCAACCAGCAAACTGTGATGGTTTTGTGATCCCTGAAATAATGTGGAAACTCGTGCTAATTAGGCATTTATTAGGCTCGTTCCTGTCATCTTGCTTGTTTTTCTGTTTTATTTTCACTTGCCACTGCTTTCCTCTTGGTTGCTAACGTGCTCATTCTAGTTTTGCATTATTGTGTTTTTTTTTAGCAGCGTGGCCCTTTAAGGAAGAACGTAATGTATAAGCAGATGTGCTGCTAAATCTACAGGCTTCTGCCAACCATATGGCAACTTAAAGAAAGATGGTCAGAGCGTCTGGATTAGCAAAGAGTAGGAATGGAGGGCCATGTGTCGTTTTGGTACAGACAGTTGTTTTAGCTCTCTGTAAAAGGCTCGGGGAGATTGTGTAATGGAACAAATGGTACTGTGAGCCCAGTAACAGCCTTGCCACTGCTGGAGTGGCGACTGGCCCCAGGCGGGTACTGCTTCATCTGGTTCCTTATTTTCTCCCTTTCTCCCCCCCTCCGAACACAAAATGAAAACCCTCAAGTAAACTTTTGATTTGCGAGGAGAAGTTGGCACTGCGCTCCGGCGCGAGACGAGGCAGATCGAGCGGAGACTGCCTGCGAACCCTGCCGGGCGCCGGGGCTCATCTTTAACTCCTTCAGGCCCAGGCGCTGCGCGGACACCCGCGGCCCCCCTGCCCGCCGTCCGGCTGGCGCCTTCAAAGGGCACTGGGCACTGGACCCGAGAGGGTGCCCCATGCAGAGCTGCCACTTTCCTAGTGGGCAGGGGAAATACGAGACCTGGGAGTGACATGTTATCTGTGGGAAGAAGAGACACAAAGAAGGAATCCACACTTGTGTTTATATCTGTGTAACATTCAGTTGATTGTGTTGTACTGCTTCTTTTATGTGTTTCTTTTTTCTCCCCAGCCTGTGACACAGACAAGACTAAAGCATTTTTATTAGACCAGTTTCACAATGTCGTTGTCTACCAAGCAGGGGATAGTCCACTTGTCACCCATGATGGGATTCTTTTAGCTTACGAATGCAGTTGTAAACTGGTCCTGTCACTGTGTTCTGCAGCGAGCTGATCTCTGGCATGGCCTATCTGTTGCAGTGCTGGGAATGTGGTCCGAGACACATCATCATTCTTTCCTCCATCTAACTAGAACAAGTATTTGTGTTAGACAGTGCTGATTCTCCCATTCAATGTTCAGTATGCTCTATACATGCTGTTAAAAGCTAAAAGCTACTACTGCTGCTTCTACACCTAATAATAATGATAGCATATAGTAATTAGTAATTCCATAACATTACAATTTAGTGGCTAGACAAACTCTAGACTGGTTTAGACCTTGGCTGTCTGGTGTATGTCATTTATATACTATAATATATATTTTGACTTTGACGGTTTTTACTGAAGTCCTCCTCAGCGCAGAATTTTACCATATTTTTACCATATTCTACAACACTGTTTGCATTGAGATATTGACCACAAAGCCATGCTGGATCTTATTCCTTGCCTGCTTTTTAGCAAATGGTGTTATTGAGCTTAAAGAGCAGCATAATTAAGCATGGTTTCCCTTAACTGCAGAATGAATCCAGCTGGAATTCACTGCCACAGGCAATGGGAGTGTGGTTTCTTTTAAAGCTTTGTGTTGCAGGATGTTTTGTATTTTTAAAGCTGTGTACTTTTGACAACATTTAAATATTAAACTGCTTCTAACTGCTTTGTTAGGTATGGATAGATGTCCTGTTAACAGTGCACACAGCACTAGGTTTGTTCTGGACAGCTATATTATTTTGGGGACAGTAACTCAACAAAACCAAATAAAGGAGGAGAGAGTATTCATGCTCTGTACTTTAATGGGAACGCCAGGGTTACCTGCTCCTATATGATAATTTCCTAAAATTATTTAAAATTAAAAACCTGTGTGCGGTATCACTATTTTCACTCTTCTCCACAGTACAGAGTAAATATCTGCATTAGAATTAGTTATGCAAAATTGCAACAGATAATGCATTGATCATAATTAACAGCTGGTAAGACTAAAATGTATAATGGGCAGCAAGGTACTCAGTTAACACACAGCGGTGTCCCAGTGTGCTGAAAGAAGGTAACTTTGTTAAAACAATGGTCGACACACTCAAGGACACATCCTTTCACATTTTGGCTGTCTTCTGCTTTTGGTTTCCACTCTGCAGGAAGGGGGGCTCTTTTCACTGAATGTTTTAACAGCAAAAGCTCCCCAGCGGCAGAACTTGCTAAACCATATGTCTGCAAGTTTTTTGGTAGGAGTCCTAGCTGCTCCAAGCCTCCAGTCTTGGCCGGGGGACCCCTGAGAAGCAAACAATTGGCCTGTACTGTTGGGCTGGCAAGTGGAAATTTGCTGGTTCTTCCTGCTCCATGGTTGTCTCTACTAAGCAGGAGCCCAGTAAAGCCAAGAAAATCTCTTAACAACATCAAAAAAGTTACAAACAAGAGAAGGCCATTCAGCCAGTCTAGCTTGTTTGATTGCTAGATGAGACTGATTTGCCATTTCTTGAAAGACATGAGGGTACAGCATGGCTGGGTAGCTTGTTCCAGACTCTCTGTGGTATGGGCTCTGGTTTGCGTTTCACTTTTGATTCTGAAGCAGACCAATGGGCTGACGTTGTCCAGGAGGAGTCCCAAGTCTACAATTACTTGATTCTGTACCTCTTTTTATGGAAAAGTACATTAGCACCTTCTTCTTCTTTGTGTTAACATTGTGTTCAGGACTGAGCCCAGGCGCACAGGTGAAAGAAGTGGAGGATGTTCAACCTTGCCCATCTTCAGTCTTGGTACACGAATTTACTATTGATGTGGTGAACTGGTTCTTACAAATTGAATAGGACAGGGGATAGGGGAGATGGGACACTAAAGGTCTCCAGAAAAGCCTGCTGTATATCAGCCATTGTATATTATATATTGTATATTAGCAGCTATGTCACCCTGAACTCACAACTGACAACCCCCTGGAGCTCAGCAGGTGTGAGCCTGGTCAGTACCTGGATGGGAGACCTCCTGGGAAAAACTAAGGTTGCTGTAGGAAGAGGTGTTAGTGCCACCCTGTGGTCTGTGTGGGTCCTAATGTCCTAGTATAGTGACAGGGATACTATACTGTGAAAAGGTGTCAAACCAAAGTCCAGACTCTCTGTGGTCATTAAAAATGTTGTCATTGGTGGTGGTGTAAGGGAGTCTCCTTTACCTGTAAAGCACTTTTAGTGGAGTGTCCAGAAGAGTATGGAGTTATTATTATTGCTGTCTGCTGTGATGATCTTTCCAGCTACACCTGGCATAATTTGGGATATTGATATTGTTGATAAGAGTACCGTTAATATTTTTTTACTGACCTCAAATATAGTTTTAATCTGTCATCCTTTATGTATTAGTACAGCTCTTGGCTTCTGATTTTACTCTAGTTTTATTTTTTGCACAACAGGAAAATACATTAACAAACTCCTTGGACAAATTGGTGTTTAGGAAACAGTTTAAAATTCCCAAAACAGCGGAAGCACTTTTTTTCCAAGTGTTGTCTTTGTAAAAAAAAAAAAGATAACTCCCTTTTATGAAGTGAGCAAATCGGCGTGTGTTTTTCCTTCGGGAGGTTATCATGCTAGCTCGCCCTGCTGTCTGCCCCCTCTCCCGGGCCTGTGGAGGAGAATTAGGCGCGGATTAAAAACTTCCTCCCAGGCGGCAATCCCAAACTCCAAACCAGGCGTCTGGTGGCAGCCTGCCGTTGGGCAGACACAGGACGCCCCTGTCCAGGAGCATGTTCACAATCTAGGAGTGGCAGGTGGCCCGGGCCGGAGTCGGAGCCTAATCCAGGCCTCAGCTGGGCGGACTGGTCCTTACCCCTCATGCTGCTGCAGGAACGCTCCTCCACTTCACTGAGTCTCCACTGCATTTCTCCTTCTCTCATTAACCTGCATTGCTGAGATACCCAGCATAGATTTCTAGTTCCAGAAATACAATTCTTACATTTTTTGTAATTGTTTCACATTTCCACTCTGATTTTTCAGTTATTTTGCTGTCTTTTTACAAAGTTGACTTGATTGTGTGACTTGCGGAGGCAAAGGGAAAAAATATCTGAAGCATCATTTTCACTGAAGTTTCCCATTCCGGTGACTTGTGTACCACCTTGAAGGCTACCATACTGTATGTTAAATCTCTGGGCTCCTTCCCTCTTTGGATCATTTCATTCACTTTATGCCATAGACGCTTATAGTCTAACATTTAGAATCATTGTGGTTCAAACAGACAATTATGTAGTGTCAGTCTTAACATTAAAAAAGAAGCAAACAATCATAAAAGTCATATTTACAGATGCTACAAATTCTCAAACAAAGTAGTACAACAGCATTCTGGAGACAGCTTAAGTTGAAGTGGGTGTAAAAACCACCATAGGTTTGGCTGTATGAATGAGCAGAGTAGAATTTTAGCAAACATGGGATGAAAGAAATTGTATAGGCTCAGCACAGACTCTGGTACTGACCAAAGTGCCACCTTCCCTGCTAGTGCTCAGAGTACTCACCTGCTTTCCTTCTTGACTGAAATGAGTGAGAGGCAGGCTGATTCCTGCATCCAGGTGAGAGGAAAGATCAATTTTACACTTACAGCAGCGGTGAATATTTGATAAAATAACTTGTAATTTCCTGAAAATGCTTTGCTACCTTCCCAAATATTTTTAGTTCTTCTTAAATACTATTGGAATTTAATTATTAAATCAGGAAATAAAATGCTGTTATAATTGATATATTCTGCATTTTACAATAGTCATGCATTGTACAATAGTTCATAGGGTGAGTTAGAGGAAATTATTTACTGATTTTATTCATTTAAAAAAAATTTTGGATATATAATCAATGGTAATTGGGAATCCAGTGGGTTCAAATAGAAACAAAACTTCACAGCTAGATTAATTGACATGTGTCATGTTCCGTGCTTGTCTTTTATTGGTAAACTATAAAATGGATTTTATGGATACCTATGGATACCCCTGGAGCTGCGGTACCCACTGTGAGCATGGAGTTAGCGTTGTATACCATAATCTTCCTGTCCTACAGCCTGACCTGTGGAACTTGACATTGTCGTGCATTGGGTTCAATCTAGAACAGAGCAATTAAAGGTCTCCTAGACCCTCTGTAATAACTAAAATCTGTACTTTATCATGATTATAAAATATTTCTATTGTTTACAGTACTTATCAACTGTAAAACTTCTTGTTTTTAACTTGACTTAACATTTAAGACACTTTCTAAGATACAGCATAGAAGCTCAAATCCATTTTTTTTCAAATTCACGCTTATCAATCAAATTGACATTGTGCTATGCAAACAATCTACTTTTGCCTTGGTAATTCTAGACACAATTTTTTAATAGACTTCTTTAATGAATTTTGAGTCGGCCCTGCTGCAAGACCACAATTCAGTGATGACTAAGTACTTCTTTAAGAGAAGGCGCAACAGAAACCACTCTGTAGTCTCCACCAATCCAATATCATTATTATTTTCACTAATACACCCACACTCCTCAAAAAACCACCCTCTTACCTCAAACAGACTCTCCAACAGGTTCAAAAACTTGTGAAGTTCAGCAGAGGGCGTTTAGCGGTTTCTTTTCTCAGTTTCAGAACTCCTCCCTTCACCTTGTCGGTATCTGTGGCCCGGCGCTGCAGCCTGCAGGCTGTGTGTGCTGGTGTTAGCGTGGCAGAGCCCATGGGGTGTTAGCGTGGCAGAGCCCATGGGTGTTAGCGTGGCAGAGCCCATGGCGCTTTTGCTCCTGTGAGCAGGACTCTGAGGGGGGAGAGAGCTCATGATGAGTTCAGGTGTGGTGAGCTCACCTGGCTCGTGGCTTCAGAACCTCCTTTTTCTGTGTTTCACTGTGACGCACCACTTGATTGGGAACAAGCAGGGATACTTCAAAGGGATGCGACCTGGAAAGTAATCGCCTGCACGCGCTTGAAAATTTTACGTTCAGTAAGGTGTCCTGGAAAAATATGGAATTTTTTTTTGTTAAAAAATCTCTAGGGTCCCACCTTTTGCGCAGCGAAAACAAACCATGGTTCCATCTATGAAAATAGCTTTTTTTAATCAAATCCTAGCCATGTGTGGAATCCAAAAACTAAAGTACTGTGAGTTTGCAGTCTTGTCAGTCAGATGTTTTGGCCCCACTGTATGCTGTTGGCTTGGATGGCTTGACACTGCATTTTTCACAAGTTGCCTCTATGTTGTCTTTGTCTCTCAGGCTACTCCTGCAGGTGTAGGTCTATGCTGAAGTGATCTGACTAAACTTCTAAACGTGAAAACAAGGCAGAGGGCTTTAAGATGTAATCTGTGCAATAAATGCTTGTAAGAAAAGCTGCAGACAAGACGAGGTAATTGGGCCCATCTTGGGTATCATCAAGAAATGATGTATACAGTGCTCTATTTCTGTATTGCCTTTCATGTGGTGTTCATAGCTGGAGATGGCCTCTCACCTTCTGTGGTATGACTAATGAGGATTACAGCACTGTACCTGTAGCAGCTCCCATCTCCTGTCTGGCAAGGGGACAGGGCTGAACAGCTGAAGAGGTGATGCTTGTGATAATATTGATTCAACCAGACAGATCTTGAGCGGTGATAAAGCCTGTCCTCACGACCTTCTTGTCAGTGTAATACTCCACTGCCCTCTTTTATGGACTGTGGTTGTGCTCCACTTGGTGGTATCTACTGTAAGTAGTGTGATGTTTCACACAGTGGAAGCAGAGTCTGTCACTCTAAAGGAGCACAAAGTGTGACAGTAACTGCAAGAGTATGCTTTGTTTACATTTGTAAGACTTCCTGAA